TGAAAAACCAACTATATAGTTGACTAAACGATTGGAAATTTTTTAATCAACTAATCGTTAGTTGATTATCTACATAATAAATTTAAGACGTATAATTTTTTTTAGCCAATCAGAATGGTTTGAAATGATACAGAAAAACAATGTTATTATTTAATTGATTTTCAAAATTTCTAATTGACATTGGCGTATTTACCATATAAACATTAATAAACTCTTAAAGTCGAATTTAAATTGGATTAATTGTCGGATAGTACTATATATATCTAGATAGTTTTTGTGATTTACCGTGGGTTTTTCTATATTTTAAGCTTAAAATAATGCAATAAAACTAGACTAATATTGAGTATTTTGTGTCCGGGTACTAATTACAGAAGGTACTATAATAGAACGGTTTTTACATAATTTTACCATACAGTGCTGTATACAGTATCTCTGGTCTTTTTCAAAAATATCAAGATTAATTAAATAATACCAGGGCATGGGGTGTAATTTCAAATAATCATATGGGCACAAGGTCGTGATGCTAAATCATCAGCCCCTGTCTTGAATCAGATCAATAGATCAATTTAACATCACTATTAGTCTAATCGATGGTCATGCATCGATTAATAATTATATACAGTATATATCAAAATTATAATTGATGAGATTGCACAACTAATATCATTAAAAATTTCCTAATACGTAATAAATGTAATATATATTATGTTAATATACTTAACAATGCTTAATAAATGTTCTTATTTTTTAAAAAAATAAAACAACAAATATTAAAATCCTACGCTATGTCCTGTTCTAACTACTGTACTACACTCTGAATCTAACTTCATGCTATGTTCGATCTAAAAAGAAGATATGAACATGGACACTATTTGGACTAGTCCATGTCCAAATAAAATTTTTATTGAACATAATCCAAATGCCAACACTGATTAGAACCGCCAGTCCCTATTTAGATCATTCTCGGCTTCATTTCAATTTCCAGTAAAACACTAGCCAGAATATGAAAAAAGGCATTAGCATAAGAAATAAAAAACGAAACAACAATACAAAAAAAAAAGTTAGAAACGGGTGCTTTATACCAGTTCCAATTCGCACGGGTCCAAAGTAGAGGTTGGACCCGTTGAGAAAATCCCTACCCGGGTTATCCGGGTAATTTATTATTATCATATATCACAATTTCTACCTGGGTCCAACCCCTAGTCCAAAGCACTATTTCCACTTTTCTGATCGAAACACTAACCTGAAGAAGAAAGAAAGTGTTGATAAAAGAAATGGAAAATGGAAACAACAAGAAAAATGAAACGTTAAACTATCAGTATTTGGTACTGGTTTAATTCCTCCGGCTCAAGATCTCTGGTAATGCCACGTTCTTGTACCTCAGAAGAAAGACCTAGCTGTATATACCAAATTCCAGTAAATTCTGAAAATAAAAAGAATAAAATTTAGTCTAAAGAAAACAAGAACTAAAAAAAAAACAACCAAGAAAAACTGTCACTTATATTAAAACCCAAGTCCAAAAACCGGCACCCTCATATATCAAAAGTCTAGAAGCGCCAAAAGAAACGGGTTAAAATAAGTCCAGGAAAATTAAAAAAAAAAGGTCCAAATATTCCTACCCAGAGTTGGCAATAGAGTCAATGGGGTTAAATGGTTACGTGAATGGAGCTCAAAAAACTAGTATCCATTGGCTCCATTCGCAGTTTCATTGGGTTTCCATTCGCAGCTCCATTGGGTTCCATTGAACTCCATTGCCAACCCTGCTTCCACCTACCTAAACCAAGACTCTTCAGTAGTAATTGCTGGAAGGTACCCGGTAATAACCTGAACTGTGAGTCTTGCGTCGCCTGATCCGAAAAAAGACAAAGAATAACTGAGTCTTGCGTCGCCTGATCCGAAAGAAGACAAAGAATAAATAAAACAAATAAATAAAAAGGAAAAGAAAAATATATAATACTTTTCTGATGCCGGATCAACAATAAATAAAGTTACAGTACAAAAAAAAAAAAAAGATCGTTCAATAGATCAGCCCATTTACCTCTCTACAAGTGGCTATTAAGGAAAGCGTCGGAGAAGTCTTGCCCTGCGGTCTAGATCTGGAAAGAAATCCAAATTGCTCAGACTTCGTATTCGTATTTCGCAGGACACAAGACTTATAAAAAAAAGTCAGTAAAAAAGAACGAAAACGACAAGAAAAAATAAAAAAAAGAAACTGGTACTTATTTTAGTCCCTTTCAAATTTCAAGAATACACTTGTTCAAATAAGATAGTAAAATAAAGTTATACTGTATATCAAAGATTATCTGTAATGTAGATCAACCTTCGTGATGTAAAGGAAATTTATTCGTACGTACGTACTATTAGTGCGCCATTAACTATTCAGTCAATTTTTTAAGATGTCCCAATAAAAATAGCTGTAGCAAAGACTTGACTTTTGGAGTCAAGTCAGGACCTGATCGGGTTTTTCACATCTCTACTTGTGGGTGTTCCATTAACACGTATATGAGAAAAACCTGCAAATCTTATCTAATAAGATTTGCAGGTTTGGCGACACTCATATGTGAATGCATAAATAATATTCTATAAATATTGACATTATTGTGCAAATGCCGAATATCCGTGAAATTTAATTTCATATTTGATTTTGCTATTATTATTATTTCAAATTTTCAATTATACACGTATATACAAATATGAATAACCGTATTCAAAAAGCTTTAACAGCTAATGAAAAAAATTTAGTTATATCTGTTTATAATTATTTAAAAAACAATAAACAATATATAAAATTTCCACATTCTTTTAATTTACGTGCTGAAGTTTCTAAAGCTACTGGTATTTCTGAATCTACGATTGGAAATATTCTTGCAAAAAAAAATAAAAATATTGAAATTGTGGACTCAAAACAAGGACATCGACCTTCAAAAGAAATTCAACCAGAAATTAGAAATAAACTGCGTGAATTGATTTATGATGCAAATAAAAATGGAAAGCTTCTTACTTTGAAAATTCTTTGTCAAGACTTAGCTGATTCAAATCTTATAATATCAAAATCAAAACTTCAACGATATTTAAAAAAGCTAGGATATCATTATGGTAAAGGCAACCAATATAATATTCTACATAAATCAGCTCAAAATATTGCATATAGAGCAGTTTATCTTCGTAATAGAATGAAAAATTTAATAGGTAACAGATTACCAGATTTACCTGAAATTTTTCTTGATGAGTCATATTGCCATTTAAATCATACTACAGGATTAACTTGGCTTTCAAAAGATGGCACAAATTATTTAAAAAATACAAAAGGCTCTATACTTGTTATTTTTGGAGCTATTGCTATTTTTAAAAATGGAACTAGCAATCAACTAAAAGGTGAAATTGTTTCTCAATCACTTTTAATTTGGGATCCAGCAATAAAAAAACCAAATAATAGCAATAAAGGAAGAAAAAGAAAATTTTCAGAAAGATGGAATACAGCTCCAAAAGCCATTAAAGAAGCAAATATTAGTCCCGATAAAGTAGATTATCATGGAAATTTTAATAGTGATATTTTTGAAAAATTATTTGATAAACTTTGCAATAATCTTTTAAAAACATATGGACCATGTATTATTCATATGGATGGTGCAAGATATCACAAAAGACGTGTTGAAAAAATACCAACTACAAATTGGAATAAAAATGAAATTCAAGCTTGGTTAAAAGATCATAATATTGAATTTGATGATAAAATAACTAAAGCAGAATTATTAGAAAAAGTAAAACAAAAAAAAATTTTTGTTCCTTTTGCTATTGTAGAAATAGCAAAAAAATATAATCATCAAGTTCTTTATACACCTCCATATCATTGTGAATTACAACCAATTGAAGTAATATGGGGTATTGTAAAAAACAAAATAGCTGAAGAACAATTATCATCAAATTTAATTGAACTTAGAGATAGATTATATAATGCATTTGAAACAAAAATTAATTCCAATAATATTGTTTCATGTTGGAAAAAATGTAGAGATAAAGCACAAGATTATTGGGAAAATATTGATAATTTAAATAATAATAATAACAATAGTGATAATGATAGTGATAATGATAGTGATATTGATGATATTCTTTTAGAAAATTCTGATTTAGATGAATAAATAATATTAGATTATACAAAATTTATTTTTTGTTTCTTACTTTATTTAATTTATTATTATAATTTATAGTATATAAATAAAAAATTTAAATATTTTTATCAAAATACAACCAAATAGTACCAAACTTTAGAAAGCAAAATTTTATACTATTCTCTAATATTTTATTAACTAATATGATAGGTAGTATATTCATATTACCTATCTTATATACTGTAGTTTTTATTTAATTATATAATATATAATAACTATTAATAATTTCATTATAGAACTTATTATTTATTAAAATTATTATGATCTTTATCATGAATATTTTGTTATGGAACTTACTTGATACTCTGGTAACCATAGTACTATATGTGATTAATTTGAATTAGTTTAAGTTTGAATTATAAATTATTATAATTTTTACTATAAAAAATTTTGTTATAGAATTTAATCAATACCCTAATAACTACAGTATTGTGTATGATTAAGATTAAATTAGTTTGAATTAGAATTATTATAATCTCTATAAAAAATTTTGTTACAGAACTTACTTGATACTTCGGTGACTACAGTACTACATGTGGTTAGAATAAAATTAGACTAAGTTTAAATTATAAATTATTGTAATCACTATAAAAAATTCTGTTACAGAATTTATTTAATATTCTAGTAACTACAGTACTGCAAGTAATTAAGGTTAAATTAATTTGAATTAGAATTATCATAATCTTTACTATTAAAAATTTGTTACAAAACTTACTTGATATTCTAGTAACTACGTATAGTATTTTATAATAGAATTAGTTTAAGTTTGAATTATGAATTATTGTGATTTTTACTATAAAAATTTTGTTATAGAATCTACTTAATGTTCTAGTAACCACAATACTTTATATAATTAGGTTGAATTAGTTTAAATTTGAATTAAAATTATCATAGTCTTCTTATAGAAAATTTGTTACAAAACTTATTTAATATTCTAGTAATCACAATACTGAATATGATTAGAGTAGAATTAGTTTGAGTTTGAATTATCATAATCTCTGCTATAAAAAATCTGTTTATAAAACTTATCTAATACTTTAGTAACTACAATAGTTAAGATAGAATTAGTTTGAGTTTAAATTATTATGATTTTTACTATAAAAAATCCTGTTATAAAACTTACTTGATATTTTAGTAACTACAGTACTATATTAGTTAAAGTTAAATTAGTTTAAGTTTGAATTATAAATTATTGTGATCTCTATTATAAAAAAATCTAGTATGGAACTTACCCAATATTTTCATAACCACAGTACTATGTGTAGTTAGAGTAGAATTACTTTACAGAAACTTAAATATCTTAATACACAGTAATTGTATAGTAACAATGTAGAAGTTATATAATTACTTTTAAACTTAATTATAACTAAATAGTTATCATGTAGTTACAGTACATTAAGAAATTTAAGTTTTTGTATAATAGTTTAAGTTTGAATTATAAATATTATAATTTCTACTATACAAATTCTGTTACAAAACTTATCTAATATTTGGTAATTACAATACTGTATACAGTTAAGGTTGAATTAGTTTGAGTTTGAATTATAAATTATTATAATTGCTACTATAAAAAATTCAGTACAGAACTTACCTGATATCCTAATAACTATAGTACTATATACAGTTAAAGTAAAATTAGTTTTTAGCTTAAATTATAAAATATCATGGTCTTTACTATA